ACAAAGCCTGATAGAGCAGCTCTGCCATGAAAACTGTGGATGCTCAGCTAAGCTCCACAAAGCCACAACCGTGGAGGAGTAGGATGCTCTTCCTCCTCCAGGGGATACCTTGCCCATCTCAGCAACTTCATGGGAGGAAGCACCGGAGCGTGGCACAGCAGCTGAACGTCGCTTGGTGACACATCCCATTCACAGAGGTGCCCTGGCTTCACTGCTGCTGGACAATGTTCTCCTCTGTGTATGGCGACTGTGTTTGACTTGGGTTAAACCAAGGTCTGCTGTCCAGGCAATGGGGCTACATACTTCTTGACTGCGAGGTAGATCTAACCAGCTTGATCCTGGAGTTGCAAGGTATCATCTCCCATAGCAGGAAGGCAACAACCACCCCAGCACCCTGTCTTTCCCCTGGCTTCACTGGCGGAGCAGTGCTGTGACATCCCTTCCTTCAGAGACTCTTGCTCTGCTCCACGCTCCACATGGCAAGGTAAGGGGTTAGGGCTATGACAGTTTAACCACGTTAGCCTGCAGATCAATACATGCTAAAAACTAAAGACAACCATGCAACTTAAATGTTAAAAAGAAAGAAAGATAGATAGATAGAAGACAGCAAGTGAAGGCTGTAGACCATGCTTTATTAGAGCAACGTTAAAAGACAGAAGAAAATTAATTTGGTGGGCTCAAAACAGAACCTGTTAATTCTTCTGCCATCGACAAACAACGCAGGAAGCCTCTGGCTCTTGGCTAAGGACAGCTCTGCTGCTCTTTCTCCCCTCTCCTTGCCTCTCTCTCTCCACTTCCTAGCTTCATCTGTGCCACACTACCAGGGCCACCGTTCATGCCAGGACTGTCTGTACCACTGCCATAGGCAAAGCTTCACAAAGCTCACTGACAACACCCGTGTGGAAAGGTAGGTTTTCACAATTTGGAGACTGCAGAGCTCCCTCACCGCCCCGAAATTAAAATACTTTGCAGAGACCCAAGATCTGCTTGTTGCATTGATGGTGGTCCAGAAGCCATTCAACCTACGAGGCAGTTAATTATTTCACTGGAGGCAGTTTGAACCTAGTATGCCAAAAACTTACTTTTTTTTTAAATACTATTTTAAGTCCCGTGGCCTGAAAGGAAGTTCACATGGCAAAGCAGACTTAAACCAGCTCTACCTGACTTTCTGACTCAGCAGAGCTAACCTTTATAAATCTAAACCCTCTGGTCTGCTACCTGAAGTAATTTTCCTCTGACTGGGATTAAGGTAGTAGACTGCTTCCCCAGCTTCTGTTGCAGCTATTTAATAGTGTGGTCACTTTTAGTCTGAAAAGCCATTTACTTAAATCATGATGGCTCCAGGCCGGAACATTTCTCCAGCCTGTGGTCATGTACGTGGCAGGGTCAGGTAGGACAGAGGGCATAGATGGTAAAACCCCAAGCCCTGCAAGCCAAATTTTCCTAGAAGTGAACAACATCAGGCAACTCTGATGAAGGGGAGTGAGTCAATGTCTGAGGAACTCCTGTGCCTCACTTTTGCTATCCTTGAAGTGGGAACAAAAATACTACATATCCCCCCTCAGAAGCACGAGTGAGGATTATTTATTCGTGTGTCACTCTGAAGCCATCAGCTGCTACATCAGACTGGCAAACGCCAACAGACCTGACCCTGCTCTGCTGCCCTTGGAACCAGGAGAGCATCAGGAAACTGTAATGCTGCAACTGCCATGAGTGAAAAGCCACAGAGATGAGAAGGGTTTATGCAGTTGCTGTGAGCAAAGATGTCTCAGTTTCTATCATAGCAGCAAACTGCATATCTTTAGCACCTACCTAAGAACTGCTACAAAATGCTACCATGCTAGCAAATGCAATGTTATAATGGTTAGGACCAGAACGAGGAGAGAAATGGTCTAATTTCTAGTGATAAAATGCCTCCATGCATTTAAAGAAAAAAAACCACCAAACCAAACCCCCCTAAAAAGCAGCTGACTCTATCAGAAGGTCTAAAGCTATGCGTTGCACCACTGAAAGGTACTGCACTGCTCAAAACTCATCTCAAAAATGTCGTCTCTGATGAGCTGCAAAGATTTCTGACCACAATCTGGCATAAGTTAAGAGAGGGTTTTTGCTTCCCATGTAACCTAAGCACTGTACAGACTGAATAAAAAGTCTCCTTGCTGATAAAATGTAGTTTTAAAAGTACGCTGTTTACTTAAGCAGTTAGGGGAAGATAAAGCAACACAAACATGATGTGCCCTGGTTCTGGTACTTGGCATATGGAGCCTGACATACTTCAAATACTCTATCTCCAGACTACACAAATACCTGCTGATAGTGTGTGGTGAGCTAACCACAGAATAGCGCCTCATTAAACACAGCGTTCGAGTCTTTGCCTAGCACGAGACTCGAGCCTCCTGACTGAGTCAAGTGGCTGCCCAGCTCTTCTGGACCGAACCCTTCCTCCTTTAAGCTTTAATAAACTGCTGCTTTCAAAGCTTTTCTAACATAAACACTGGTACTGGTATGTAAGACCCCAACACCCAGTACTAGCATGCCTCGAATGGGACAGTGTGCAATCTGCTGAAGACAATTCTGGTGCCTTAGCTGGTCCTTCGACATACACCACCACCCTCGAGCTGTGTTTTCCTCCACACTAAGCACAAACAAGACTGCGTGCATACACAAAATACGATGGACGTCTGAGCTACATTCTAAATGAGATGGAGCACATGGGACTGGCATGAGTAAGAGGGGAAAATGTGGGAGAGGAATCACTACACACAGAGTGTGGTTTGGGTTGAAATACCTACCATCATAATATTCCAAATTCAAAGACTGCTTGTATCAGAACAAAGAAACAACAAATTTAACCAAATGCGATCATATAAGGAAAAAGGAATGAGAAAAGAACTACTCGGTATCCCTCCACCAAGAAAGAAGTACGTACTGAGTTACACATGGAATTAAACTCCAGTAGAACATGGGCTGCCGAAATTTGGGCTCTCTGATATCTTTCATCTCCTTTTAATGCTGGAAACTGTCCTACTAAAGTTGTAATTAGATTTATCTAGAGCTCAGGCATTTACAGCTCACTTGTTGGGATAAAATTTAGGAAAAAAATGTATTGTCAGAATCAGAAAAAAAAAAGACATCAGATCTTTTAAAAAACTGATATCTACATAAACCTTACTGAGGCATAGAAGCCTACAGGTAGCTATTTAATTTTGCAGATAACATCAAAAAGTAGTACAATATAAGCTGTAAACACTGGCTTTTACATCTCTAATAATGAGAAAAACACTAGTGCTGCAGATCCCAGAACTTTTTAAAAAAGCATTTGGAGGCAGCGGACACAGACCCAAATGAAAGACAGAATACAGATGTCCAGCTAAACATTCAATTTGCTGACAATCTGGAAAAAAAAAAGCCAAAAAACTGCCAGCTTTAAGGACTTCAAGTTTTCTTGTTCCCAGTTCTACCACCAGGGAGAGGTTATTGGTAAGGAAAGAGAGAAAATGGCATTAAATTAGCAAGGAATTCCAAAGATCAAAGTTTATTAGCAACTGATGCTGTGGGAGAGAGAAAGGTGGGGAGTGGGGAAAAAAGATCAAAAAAATAAAATCACACAAATGCACTAAGAGGACAGATTGCTTTTATTTCCCCAAAGGCCTAGTGGGTAGTATTATACCTGCACGGTTTGCACCATAAACTCTGTCGGTCAAGCCCGAACAATGCCCGACACTTCTTTGGAGTATTTGCATCTGTTAGCATAAGGTAAACACAAAAAATACAACACAATGGTGGATAGAGCTCATTTGGACTGCGTCATCTTAGCTACAGCTACGTTTAGCTTTCAATCACCTCCGTTTTATTTGGTAATCTCCCCTCGTACCAAGGGCAGGAAAGAAAACAGGACTTTCATAATGAGCCAAGAGAAAACCAACAAAAAAAATCTCCGACACGGCCGTGTGTGCTCGGTGTCGGTACCGCACTCAACGCCGTGGTACCCACGGCTTTGGGAGCAACTTTCCTTGGGTGGAGGCTTGGAGGGCAGGAGCGTGGTTGAGCCACGGACCAGGTGGGCTTAAGGCTGATGCTGTTTTACAGTGGGTTTTTGGCTAGCAGCAGCAAAGAGAAAGGCAAAAAAAAAGACCAACAACGCAAAAAAAAAAAAGCAAAACCCTTTCAGAGAGATGATAACTCATGGCAGTGTCCCACTCCCTTGTGTCTTCCAGATCACAACACAGAGCTACAAAGCAACAAGGCAGGAAAAAAAAGGGGAAAGTACCAAATAAACCAGCTGCAAATCAGCCATAGCGAGTCTGGGAAAACTATACACACCTGCAGGGGCCGCACCAGTTATTCTGTTGATCAAGGCCAAAGCGCGCTCGGCATTTCTTAGGAGCGCTCAGGTCTGAATGAGTTCAAGAAAAGCGAGCAGAAAAGGGAGAGAGGAAAAAAAGAAAAGGGGAGAGGGGGGGAGAGAGAGAGAGAGAGAGAGAGGAAGAGAGAAAAGGGGAGAAAAAAGAGAAAGATAAAAATAAGGAAAAAATAAAAATAAAAAAGGGAATAAAAATCAATGTCCTCGTTATTAATTGCAAAATATTGACTTTTGATTTAAAAGTTAAAAAAAAGTGATAATCACATTTTTATTCAACTCTTGAGATTAGCTGTTGCAATTAAAGCTGCAGTATCCCTTTATAAAGGACTGTTTCTTTCCCTTTTAAAAGAGCAGGTAGAGGAAAGTCATTGTGGCTGGGGGAGCAGGATGTTCCAGGCAAGATTTATTTGGGGTGGGTTTTTTTATTCTCTTTTTTGAGGGGGGGGGAGGGAAAGGAAGAAAAGAAGCTGAGTATGGAAGTTAGATCCTGAACATGCTTTTTTCTTCAACTCAGATACAAAATAAAAATAAGAGGAAAAAACAAAACAAAACAAAACAAAACCAAACCAAAGGAAATTATATCTCCTGGGATAATGCAGCTTTTGGAATAACATTCAATGTAATTGTTTTTATTAATTTGTATTTAAAAGAATGGATAAGAATAAGCAGACTGCGGAATGAGTATGTTAGTATCAGCCAGAAAATAAAACGTAAAGCATGGCGAGGTGCTGAGTTAGTACAGCTAGTGAATTGCAATGAACAGGCTTGCGCAGAAAGGAAAACAAAATAAAAAGAAATCCAAAACTAAAATAATAATAAAAAAATGCATATGCATGCTAATGTGAGAAGACTTAGTGGGAGCCATGAAAAATGCCATTAGATTAAGGAGGTTCATTACTGACTTGCTTCCATTCTTTATCAGTCTCTTTAAAGAAATACTGCATATTCAATTTGCACAGTTAGTACAACTCTTGCGTTATTTTTACCGTATTACTGTTTTAATAGCAACTGTTACAAAAACGAAAAACAAAATTAAAAAATACTATCAAACATATAATAGATATAAAGATAAATAGATAATAAATACTGTGGATGGTAATTTCTTTCTTAATGTCATAAGTGTTTAATGTTAAAATCTACAATGGCAGGAAAAAAAAATTAAGAAGCAGTTTATAAACTATTTTAAATGACTCAAAATGACGTTAGCACCTGTAATCGGAGGAAGTGAAAGGCAAGGATTTAGGAAACATTCGCTGTGTTCTGAAAAAAAAGAACAAATTATACAAAGGCTTCAAAAAAACTAAGTCAGGGCTTCTTCAGAATTGACTATGAGATTGCCTATGCAGTATTTCTAATTTCCTAGATAGAACGGCAAACCTCCTTAATTTAAAATGGGTGCGATTTACCACTGTAAGGCATGCATCAGAACATACAGGTACAGCCCAAATTAATATCAAACACATACATACGTACAGACACGCACACACATATGCACAAAATAAGCGGACAACTTTATAAACGATGGCATAGGCATTACAACTACGGCTCTGCAGTTACAGGCTGTGCGATTATTACGTACAAATTCGGCTAACGTCACACGAGGCTCTGGCATGCAATGGCTTGGTTACTAGTTTTAGAAGGGCAGTAACGCATAAATAATTAGAGTGCATTCAAAAAAAGGCTGTCTAGTACAGGGGCCGGCTCCCCGTGAGGCCAGGAGACTCATACCCACCTCCCCCAGACCTAGGGGCGTCACACCAGGATTGCCACGTTTCCACTACGCAAGAGATTGAGACTTAGTTTTACTTACCGTTGGTCTCTCCTGGCTGCTTATCCCTTTTCCTCTTCTTCTTCTTTCCCTGCAGGAAACATACACAAATGAGAAGGATTAAAAAAAACCAACCCCAAACAAATCTACTTGCAAGACAGCACCGAGCGACAGGGCTGCGGCTGGTGTGGGGAGCTCCCTGCGGCGGACACCAAGGCATGGTGCTGGCTCACTCCTGGTGCAGGGAGGTTTTGGGGGGCCCAAGGGGATGCTCACACCCCAGAGATGGCTCTGCCTACCTGCCCCATGCCTTTTTGGACAGTCTTACTGCAGTCCCCTCAATGCTAACACGCACCAAACCTATAAGCAGCTGTAGAGAACAACTTGCAAGATGCCTCTTTTGAGGTAAGTTTATCATCATGACAGAAACATTGACACCTGTATGCTCCTACTTCCAAAAAAAATCATTCCTGGTCACGTTTCTGCAGGGCAGGGAGGGGAAGAAGGGGCAACAGCAGAGATTCAAAGTGAAAGTCCATGAATGAGGTCAAACTGAGCCCCTCAGCACCCAAACGTGATCAATAAAGCAAATGAGAATGTCACAGTAATGAGCAAAACCTAAGCTGCAGGTTTATAAGTTCACTGACAACTTAGGAAGCAAAACCAAGAAGAGAAAAAATCCCCAGATATAACTAAGACCCTTCCCACATTTTGCTCTATTACAAGACAAAATAACCAGTAGTGTTTTACTAAACTGCATCCCTTTCCCAAATACTGTCCCATAAGACAATGCAATTTGCTACAGTTTCTGACTGGAGGGAGAAAGGACATTTCTGTTTCCCTTCAGCAGTGTGGTGAGGACATGACCAGGAGCCCGACTTCTGTGGAAGCTCAACCATCATCTTCTAAGAGTTGAAAAGTGATGGGCATGGCTCAAAAGAGAAAAGCATTTTTCTAGGAAAACTTTTCTAACACTGAGCTACAGGATTTGCAGAGCAGCACAAAAAGGCCACTGCAAGGGGACATTCCATTTTCACAGCTCCCCAGATGCTAAAAGCAACAACTTTTAGGCCAGTAATGTCAACTGAGAACCACACAGAGATCTCTGCTTTTGAAGACGTGGTGCTAAGAGAAGTTGGTGTAAAGACACCAGGCCAGCAGGCCCTTGTGGTTGAAAGGGGACAATGATGTCTTGGAAGAAGGAATCTCACAGCACTTTTGAAGGGCCGGGTGTATCTGTGTGGAACCAAGAGGTTCTCCTACATGGTGGATGTCTTTCTCAGTAGGCTGGTCTGGCTCTCAGATAAATGGTTAAGATTGGGTTTCAGCCTGGGACATCTACATTTGGGATGCTCGCTATGACATGTTCCCTGGAATGTGTTAGTAAGAAATTCCCTCAACGTGAATACTGGACTTTGATTTGTTGTTGCCGTCGTCATATTTTTCCACCCCATAAGCTGGCTTTCTGGCATGGGGCTCCTGTACTCATTCCCCCTTGCCTTGCTCAGGGTTGTAAACTGCCACCCAGCTGTCCAGGCTGTGACAACCATGGTCTTGTTCACCAGAGCCTTCTGGTGATGGAAAAAGCTGTGTGCACCGTCAATTTTAAAGGATTTCTAAACGACATGCACATAATCCTGTGGTGTTGACGCTGCTGAGAAAACATCTTTGACACATCTGAGGTCATTCTGGGAGATATGGAGAGTTGTTGCTCTGAGTCAATTCCTACAGCAGCCATTAGTCTAACATGACAAGCAGACAAGAGGGACAAGCATCGCTCCTAAAGCTCTCTGAGAATAAAATAGGGAAAAATGTGGTATCTTGAAGTCCACATACCACATAAAGATAAAAGAGGCTCAGACTGCTCCATCGATATCGATCTAGATTGACAGGACCTCTGTCAAAGTTGGTGATATTTTTTCCAGGTTTACAATGTATCCAAAACCAGACAACTGCCTCAAGACCATAAGCCTTATTTTTATTTAATCTCAAGGAGGCCACTTGCATAATTAACAGACAGCATCTTGTGGGAAATCTGCTTAATTTTCACAGTACATTTGAGAGTCTCATTTATGAGAGACCTCATAACTTCTACACACGAGGGCCAGCTAGAACAGAGGTGAGGAGTCACCTGCTCTTTACAAACTCTTCAAGCTAGGTATTAAAGCACTACAACCCTTTTAGGGAGCAATCTGTTAAAAATGGGTGATATAAAGGAATGTGAGCCAGAGATCAGGAATTTCTGGTTCCTTTTCAACACAAGCTTTGCAAACTGTTCCTAGCAAAGAACTGACAGAGGTCCCACTAACTTCTTTTACGCCCTTTTCAAAGGAAACAGGTAGAAGAATCACCTGGCTTCCTTATTCAATTTTTGTGCCATAAGAAGATACCTGACTATGTAGCTAAATTAATACACGAACTTAAGAACAGAATTATGGCAGCAGTTCTCCAAGTGCTCTGCAGAAGACACCGTTTTGCCCTTGCCTCTGGTTGTCCTCCTAAGACTAGAGCAGATGATCTGTAACATTTTCCATCATCATACTATAAAAATTCTTAGGCTGCAAGTAAATGTGGATGTAAATACTTGCTAACTACTTTGGCAGCTCTCTCTACAGAGCCAAACCAACATGGGTTTTGACAGGACTGCAGAGTTCTTTGGTACTAATTTTCTAGACAAGCGGCAGTCGAGTTGACTACACCCTTACCTACTTCTGAGTCTGGCACTCAGTGCCACTTAATATCTTATATTAGGTCTCCAGAAGAGCAAATGTGCCTTGTGACACCAACACGCCACGAGGGATTCCCTGAATCCTCTTCTATTTAAGAGCAGGCTGAAAGCTGTGTTTCTTGAATGTACTGCTCCTATTTCTGAAGACCTGGCCTACAGCTGGCCTCGTCCTTGTGCCTGATGTGAGATGCCTAACAATTTAACCACTTCAAGCAGCCCAAAGGTGCTCCCCTGTTAGATGTGTGAAGGGCTCGAGACCCTACAAAATGCTGCGGGAGGAGGGGAACTCGAGAGCTCTGAAAGGACCAGGAGAGGAGAAATAAATAAATCCTGCGGATGATGCAATCGTGCGATGCAAAGTTACCGCGCTCTCCTCAGGCAGGAAGGTTCCCCCTGAAGGTCACTTGGGGGTACAGCATCAAGCCGCTGGGAGAGCGCCGGCTTTCTCATCCTGTCCTTTTTAGCTCAAGAAGAAAGGGTTTCTCAGTGCTCACACGGTGAGGACAAAAGTAAAAGGTCCTAAACACTGAAGGCTTTGTACATGCCCATCTGTCAGTGGCGCAGTCACTGCACAGAATGAGCATTCCTGAAACCTCAGTCGAGCCTATACTCCCTTTTGAACACCCAAGAAGACAATACTGCACCGTGCTGAGGAACTACCTCAAGCCTATGGTCTGACAGCCTCAGGCTGGAATATGTGGAAAAGAAAGGGAAAATATGTTTAAGCAGTGACAGTGCCTCATGGGGCTTAACAAGGTCTCCTCTGAGGAGCACGCACAGCTACACCTGTGACGGTGAACAAAGGAGGGAGAGGGACAGAGCTCAATGGAAAGAAAAGAAGATCAAGAAAGAACAGAAGAATTTGAAAAATGTCCTTAAGTCCGTATTGCTAAATAAGTGAGTACGTGTATTCTCCACCACTGAAACGGTGGAAGAGTGCAGAGAGCTGCTGCTGCTCTAGGTTTCACTGCAGACTCTGAACTGGCTTCTTCCCATCCCTATATGTAAAAATGCAGATTCTCATAGAGGTAAACGCTGCCATATACAAAGCACACAGTTGATGTGATTTACGGCACAATAGGATACTTATGGTAAAATAGGCAGTGATGATGGCAATGATGGAAGAGACAGACTTCAACAAAACCAAAATGTGTAACACTACACATAACCGACATCAATCTTACAGCTGCTGGTCCCCAAATCTGCAGAGATATCTGCCTGGAAGTTAGGGAGCAGGGATTATTCCAGAGTTAGAGACCTTGAAAGTTTTAGGTGTTTTTTATTTAATTTTTTTTTAAATAATCAGGATGCTGCTCTAATCCTATTGAAGACAGTTTAGAGCTCCGACCAATCCACAAATCTCTCAAGAATTTAAGGGTTTAAGCTTGCAAACACTTACTACCAGATGCACCGCTTACCCTTCATGGAAGAAGGGGTTATATGCTGCAAGTAAGTGTTTACAATGCTGGCCTTATGTCTTTAACAGACAGAAAATTCTACCACTTTTAGCCACAAAACAGGCTTTCAGAAAGGCAGAGGGGGGAAGCAATCTTAAAAACACTCTATGAATTCATCACAAACTCCAAAACACTTCTTCAAAAATGAGGAGGGGCAAAAAAAAGATAACATGGCCATGAAAAAGCAAAACATAATCAAAATATACAACAGTAGAGCGTGGAATAATTCATTTAACCCCACTTGAGAGTAAGACTTTCAAACAAGTCACACTTCTGGTTTTGCCAGTCCTTCTCTGAAGCTAGGATAAGTCATTCTTCCACTTTCCACTATACTCTCACACAGACAAGCACAAGACACTAATTAGTCATCTTTTTGGTGGAAAGGAGAGGAGCCACACTAGGGGAATTTTTAATTTTGTTTTAAAAAAATGAAATTTCAAATGACCAACAAGCCAAACAGCATTTCCAGACGCTGGTAAAAGTGAAGGAAAGAGCTTCTTCACAGAGCTCTACTAATGCCCCAATTCTAACCTTTTACTACTCCCAGCCAGGAAACCTCTTCCAAGTGGAAGACTGGGAATTATCCCCAATAGTTTTAGTATCGCAGAGGGAAGCGTCCATTGTTGTTACCAGATTGGGATCCTGAGGCACGCTTTCCAAGTAGTGCTTGTGTGCAATGTGTGGTCGTAGTTCAGCAG